ATTTTGGTACTTGTGACTCCAGGGACAGGAGAGTACGAAGAGACAGATGTTTGCTGGCCATAACAGATAGGTGGCGCTGTGGCTCACGGTAGATCAGGGTTTAGGAACCTGGGCTAGTACTAAAGCCAGGCATGCCCAAGTTTTCAGCATCAGAATCAAAACGCCAGATAGCTACCATAGAACGACATCTGACTCACGCATGAGCTATTTGCTTTTGGCTGTATTACTAAGGAACTTTTCGTTTCAAGCATTTGCAAAATTTGTCCTTAACTTCTATCACTTAGAAAAGTGACATTCTAATGAAATATGGGCTTTCTGAAGCACAGTTGAGTTAAGAACTGTGCAAACCTACTGCCATTTGCTCCTGGGTGGGTCACCACTTGCAAACACTGCCATTCGCTGCAAACAGCTTTTCCTTTCCCCTAGGAATGTTCTCTGTGGTTGGCTTCAGAGGTCTTGTGTCCAGCTATCTGACTTCATCTTTTCCTGGCTTCTTCACCAACTGCAATTAGTTAACTATTTAAATTGCCTGAGATTCTCCTTTCTTCTATCAAAAGCAACTGTATCATGTATGCGAAGTGGTTCCCCTCAACAGAGAAACCAGTAGAGATTATCTTTAGATGTTTATCATATTTCTTTCTCTCTCTTTTTAAACATAAAAAAATGTTTCATTTGAATTTTTTTAGGTTGTTGCACATTTTCTTCCCCCTTCCTTCTCCCCCTCCCGGCCTTCCATGTAATGCACATGTTGTTCCAGATTGTTGTCATACATATAATGTCTAATCATATATCTGTGTTATGCAGATGACACAACCTTGATAGCTGAAAATGAGGATATGAAAAGCTTGATGCAGAGAATCAAAGACTGTAGTCTTCAATATGGGTTGAAGCTCAACATCAAGAAGACAAAGCTTCTCACTAGTGGGCCAACTGGCACCACTATGATAGATGGAGAAATGATTGAGGTTGTTAACAATTTCAGCTTGGTCAGATCTACAATTAATATTTTTTGGCACCAGCCGTCAGGAAATCAAAAGATGAACTGCACTGGGGAATCTGCTGTCAGGGACCTCTCCAGAGTTCTGAGGAGCAATGATATCAGTCTAGAGACTAAGGTGCTCCAGATCTAAGCCATGGTCTTTGCAGTTACTTGCTGTGCATCAGAGAGCTGGATAATGACTAAGGATGGCCGAAGAAGAATCAATGCCTTTGAGTTGTGGTGCTGGAGAAGAGTACTGAACCTTCCATGGACCAAGAGAACAGTGTGTTTTGGAAAGGGTGAAACCAAGTTTCTCTTTGAAGGCAACAATTTTGAAGCTTGTTTCTCTTTGAAGGCAACAATTTTGAAGCTCCCTCTCACATTCTTTGGGCACAAGGCCAGAAGGGACCAGTCGTTGGAGGACATCATGCTTGGAAGGGTGAAGGTACAGTGCAGGGAAGGAGGACTCTGGATGAGATAGACTGACACAATTACTGGGGTAAAAGGGTTAGATGTGTTGGGAATCAGTGAGACAGGCTCAAGATAGGGGAGGCTTCAGAATTATTGTACATAGGGTTTCTATGAGGCTCAAACAACTTGATAGTACATAACAACAATCATATATTCCTTTTGGACAGTTCTTCCTCTCACGTGATCTAATGCAGTATTCATTAGTTATCCACTCTTTTCCCATTATCTCCCCAATTCCCTCATGTCTGTTCCATTTTATAACAGCAGTGATATTCAGTATTTGTCTTTTCGTGACTGAGATATTTCTCTCAGCATAATGTCCTCCAGGTTTCCCCATGTTGTGTAATGCATTACGAGATCTCTGTTTTTCAATGCGCATAATATTCCACTGTGTGAATGTATCTTAGTTTTCTATCCATTCATTTGTTGAATGAGTCAACTTGGGTAGCTTCTATTTCTTTACTAGTGTGAATAATGCAGCATGTGTTTGAGTCATAGCTCTGGTTCCTTTAGCACATATTCCCAGTAGTGGATGTGCTGGATCAAATGGTATTTCTCGCTCCAACTTTTTGAGAAAGCGCCATACCTCTTTGCATAGTGGAAATACCATTTTACACTCCCACCAGCAGTGAATGAGAGTTCTGATGTCTCCACAACCTTGCCAGCATTTGCTGTTTGCTTCCCTGTTGAACTTTGCTATTATGGGGTTTTCTTTGGGCGGTGGGGAGTCTTTTTAAAATTATTTTGTGTGTGTGTGTATGTACAATCAAGTTTGATCTGATTGGTACAGAAGGAGATTGCCCCTCCTTCTCCAGCAAAGCTCCTGGTGGATTCAAACCATATACCGCTAGGATTGCAGTGCAGCTTCTTGCCACTAGGCCACCAGAGCTCCCTGTTGAACTCTGCTATTGTTGCTGGGGTGAGATAATATCACATAGTTGTTTTGATTTGTGTCTCTCTGATAGCTAAGGATTTTGAACATACCTTCATGTGTGTGTTTGCCATCTGAATGTCCTCTTTGGTGAAGTGTCTATTAATATCTGTGCCCATTTTGTTTGGGTTGAGATGGGAGTAGTCTATAAATTGTAGATCTAAGTCCCTTAACAGATTTTATCATCTTTTTGTTGCCAGTTCTTATTTCATCTAGACTCAGTTTCCATCTCTATAACGCTGTTAGTTGTCATCAAGTCAATTCAGATCCAAGGGGATCCCACCTGTACAGATTAAAACTGTTCCACGGGATTTTCAAGCTGTGACGTTTTAAAAGGCCTTTCAAGGCAGAGTTCTGGCTGAGTTCTTTAGGCCAGCTTTTCAGAGTCAACTGCTTCACGATTTGGGGCACCCAGAGGTGTGGGTGTTAATACCTCTACCTCATAGGGTTGTAGAGAATCCTGTCACTGTGGCTGGCACTTGTTACTCGCAGCAGCCATGGCTCATGGGGACACAAGGGCAAAACTAAACTTACTGCCAATAAGTCGATTCAAACTCACAGCAAGCTACATGGTAAGAGTAAAACTGCTGCATAGGGCTTATATCTTAGGAAAGCCTGTCACATTAGCATTTATCTTAAGAAAGCCTATCACCAAACCCTTTTTCCCCTTTCAGCTGCTGAGTGAGTTCAAACCACTAACCTTTTATAGGTTAGCAGTAATAGGCCAACTGCTTGTACCACCCAGGGACTGGTGTTCCAAAAAAAATTATTTCTGTTCCTTCCCTCTCTCCCAACCATCCAAACGGATGCAAATTATGTGGTAACAGTTGGTAAGCAATCTTCTTTTGGAATATTTTCATTTTGAAAGTAACTAGGAATTCTATCCAGAAGTCCACCATTTCCCCATCATCATCATCATCATCATCCCTCATTCTCTCACCACTACCACCCAAGGACAGTGGGGGCGGGGGGCACTTAGGAGTGTCCAAACTGCAGAGGTGGGTGCAGGGGAGGGGGGCTAGGAAGCCAAGAGCTTTCTCCAGGGATGGTCTCAGGCTGGCCCAGAGAACACAGTAAATCTCACAGAACTATGTTTGACGTTTATAGTTGTATTTTCCAATTGCAGACTTAAATTAATAATACTGAAAAACAGCCAAGGATATGTAAGTCATTTATCTCTTCAGAAGCACAACAAGATTTTCAGGGCTTAGAAACTCCAGTGGGAGTTGGTAAATTGAATTCGTGGTTTATCTTCCCAAGAGTTCAAAAACTACTGGCCTCAAAGGCCTGCAAAGATAAGACCACCTCTGGCTGAAATGATAGGAGCTGAGCCCTAGGAATGCCTTTTAGCCCTAGGAATGCCTTCCTCCCTGGGGAAGCTCCTTTAATCAAAGCCAGGGTGTGTTCACCAACATGTAAAATGAGAAATGAGAAACTGAGGTGGAGAGAGAAGAAATACCTTCATTTTTTTGTAGTTCTCTGGCCAGAAACTTCTCTTTCCCAAGGACCAGAACTTGTCACCTTAAGTTTAGCTTCCCACCACCCTCCACCTCCTCATCCTGGGGTTGGCAAATGCACTGGGAATGTGCTCACTGGCTGGACATTATCACTCGGACAGTTCAGAGAGAACAGCCTTTCAGAGGAGGCTTCCAGAGCCACAAATTACTTTCCAAGCACGTGGGGCTCCCGGGCGCCTCCCTCGGACAGCAGCCTGGCCCTGGCCCGTGGGCCAGGGAAGACTCCCGCACTTGGTATCCAACTCTAGCCTTGAGCCCAGTCTGTGCACGTACTGAAACCCGTTATCCTGGCACAAAATCGAGAACTGGAGCCTCCAGTAAACACCACTCTGGCCGCACCCTTAAAGGACTGGGATGCCCCGTGATAGTAGTTCTCGATCTCACTTATAAATCAGGATTCTGCTGACAAATCTCCGTGTTTCCACGAAACAGAAGGCTTCCCGGAAAAGCCCCTCTCTTCGTGGTTCTTTAAGTGTCCAGAGTTCTTAAATCCTCCTGCAAGAGAGCACTACCCGGGGGACGGGAAGGCGCGCGTCACCCCCTGAGCGCACGTGGGCTCGCCAACCCCCCAGGTGGTCACACGCAGGGCGTGTAAAGTGAAAAGCAGTTATTTTCCAGTCCGTGGACTTTTCAGAGAAAGATGCCAAATGCACGTCCCGAGCCAGCTGCACTCCGCGGGCACCTAATTACTACCAGATGTGGGGCGCGCGCTGGGGCCATCTCGAGTCCCCTAGAAACACCGGGCGCCGCACGGCCAGTTCTCGGACAGAGACCAGCACCGACGAGAAAGGAAAGGGACCCGGGCCAGAGCGCAGAGAGCGGACCTGCAGGAATTCTCGTCCCTCCACTCTCCTCGGCATATTTTTTCAATTAAAAAAGTTGGAAGCTGGAATCCGTAAACAACGATTTAGAACTTCAAACTACTTTTCCAACTACATGACGAGGAGGAGGAAGACGTGCACGTTTAAAAGCCCCAACCGCTGGCTTCCCTCTAGTGCCCGACGTCAGAGTCGGAGAGCGCCCAAGTGTCCACGCACCACTCCAAGGAGAGACGAGGTGCAGTGTCGCCCCGCGCGCTCGCGAAGCCCGCTGCTCGTCCTACCTTTCATGGTGACGGACGAGGCGCACCACCAGCCAGGGAGCTCCGCGCGAGCGCCGCGCTCAAGGAGGTCCACCCGGAGCCGCCGGTCACTGCGCGCCCATGGCC